ATATCTACACCTGGAGAGCGCAAACACGAAACTGGTCCTAAGACGCGTGGCTGATCGGGTCGAACATAACATTTATGGGTTTTATATATGGTCCAGGTAACTGACTCGGCCTAGGCACACTTCACGGTGAATCGCAATTCCGAATGATACTGCTGCCATCAGAGCGGCATCTGGAGCAGAATGACCTGTTCTGTCAATAACGCCTGCCATGGAGCAATCCAGGAGAGAAAAATCGGGCAGTGCGAGCAAACAGCGAATGCTAAATCCGGATCTCTCCGATTGGAGGCCCAGAAGTCAGCAGGAAAGCACAGGATAACACCAGTGGTATCCAGCATGTTAAAAGTATCGATCCGGGGTACCTGGTAAACAAATGAGAAGACGTAGTGAAACTATGCCTCAATAAGCGCCGTGACTACAGAGCACCGAAACTCATAACTGCACCGAAGTGCACATGAGCCGACGACAGCTCACTTGTTTTTCTCGATGCGCTTGTTGCTCAGCTGATTCCAGGCTATGACGAGAAGATTCCCGTTCTGCCTGAAGCTGTGTCTCCATCTCTTGGACAACCAGATCCCGTTGGTCGGCTTCGTAACGCCATCGAGCCGCTTCCTCGCGAAACACATCATATTCGGTGCGTAGTAAGTGCAGCTGGTGCCTTAATGCGTCCGTGCACTCGTCAGCAGATCCATCGAGGGAATGATGTTGAGTATTAGTAGAGGTTGCTTCCCTCAGAGAGGCGATGAGCTGAAAAAATGCATGAGAGTGAGATGAGCTTTATGGTGAAGGCAAACTACCACTAAATGGCATGTTAACAGTTTTAACGATAACATACCTTATCTTTCATTGCAAGGATATGGGTAGCTTTCTCTTTGTACTGTGATAATTCTTGGGTGACTCGAGCAGTCTGATCTAAAGACACCTGTAGGCGTTTTTCCGTTAATTCTTGGCAGCGACGAGATTCTTGCAGTTGTGAGTTCAACATGTCCTGAACGATAACGAAAAGAGTAAGAAACCAACAGAGAAAGCGGAAAATAGGAAAAGGAAAGGATGTTTCGATTACATTAAAAGACAAGTGAGGAAATCAGCTCAGACAAGCACGAGACACACTTACCACGTGTACCTCGAACTTCTTTGAACTGGATAATGCTACTTCCAACTCGGACTTGACTGCAGCCAACTGATGTTTGAGATCAGCAGCCTCATAAGAGGAAGTGACTTCTGTAGATGCTGCGGCCGGTTGGAGGGTTTCAATAGTCCCTTGCAGTTCTCCAATACGACGGTCTGAATCGTGCAACTGATGCCGTAAACGGCCAATCTGCCGAGGATGGAACGAGAATGAAATCAGAGATGGAATGATTTCATAGAGAAGCGTTCAAACAAATGAATCCACGAACCAGAAATGGTCACAGCGAAATGAAGAATCATGGCTAGTTATCGATCAAGAAAACCTCGTCGCATAAGTGATCTACAAAACAGTACAGTGTTTGTCCCCGCTTGTTAAATGTAGGCATAAAGCAGCGAATGGCTTTGGAGCAACCTACCGCAGCAGAGGAGAGGAAGCCCCTGACCCTCCAGGATGTTGTCCACGTGATCCACTAGGTGCCTGATCAGAAACATCAGCGGATGCGACATTAAGCGTCATTAGTGGTGTGTTTGATGTCCGGTAAAAGCGAGACTAGCGGTTTAAAATGTGCGTAGGATACAGGCGTTCGTGGAGTGGGATTGCGCGGGAGGGGAACTGATTAGATAGGAACTGCAGCCCGGGTTTTGCCAACAATTCGAATCATGGAAGCCTCTATGTGATGACCGCTGGGTGTGAAGTGAGCCAAATCGTTCTTCAAGCTAAAAGTCAATCCGATTAGTGGCCAAAAGCAAAGTTTGTAGTTCCGGCCGTTTAAATCGCATTTCAAAGTGCTCACTCTGATGTAGCTAGCGTACTGACAGGTCGTAGATAGGCTGTCCTTTCTCGTCGCATAGTGTTTTGCTAATAGCGGGTTTCCAGGTGCTTGTTTTCAGCGTCAGATGGTATAATATCCGATGGTTATCAAAAGAAGCGACCGATTCTATCTCTGATGCATGATGAGACAACCAGGTTCCCTTCTTTCAAGGTTAGCACGCAATTTCTGCGTGGTTTGATGTGTTCGCTCCCGGTCGGAATGCGTCACCGAGGATACGCAGTTGGTAATTGGATTTGCCACATGAAGACATGCTTGCTACTAATAAGGTCTGGTGAACATGGGACTAGTGACCCACAAATGTGTTCAGTGAGTGCTTACTAGGCCAGGAGGCCAAGGTACTTTGATGCGCATTCAGAACATCCGGCTTCAGCAGTTGGTAAAAACCTAGGCGATCACATCGGAGTCGTGGACGCCCGCCGAAACGCACTCGCGAATAAGCATATACAAACACGGGTCGGAGTCCACAAATGGGGCGACAGTTTTGGACACAGCTTCTCCAACGGTAGCTGAGCACGACAGGATCGATTTACTTCCGTGGCCGGCGTATGGGGGCGTCATATCACTCTTCTGCGGGTGCTGGGTCGGAAGTTACTGCTTTTGAAAATTAGACGAACATCCTCACACAGAGGGAACAAGATTTGACTTTTTCCATTACGGAAGTGCATGCCGTGTTGGCCGCCCAGATGCAGCTCATCAGTGGACCGACTTCGGACCAGCACTGAAGTATTTGTGATACTTCTGTGGTGAGGGACATTGCCCAGTTATCGATGGAAGTTATCTTCCACAAAGCCAGCGCTCCAATTTGTGAGGACGTAGGCAGCAATTATAAAGAGGCAAACATTGGCTACGTGCAACTTCGAAGATAACGGAGCACATCCAGCTGTGGATTGGGATCCAAACGATCACAGCGGCTTCAGCTCGGGGGCTTAAGCAATGCCCAAACTGGTTTGACCGGCATTTGTACGTACGTGGTCTACGGATAGAAGTAATGAGAAAGTACCATCAGTATCACATGAAGAGAAACGCAGGGTGAACACAAAGCTCGAGCCTTGTAGGCGCGCTTCAGATAAACAGCAGAGATGGAGCAATAGTCTTTAATGTTCGGGCAAGTACTGCCCGTTGGCCAATCTGTAACAAAGCGTGCACGTCGAGCCATAACAGTCTCAGCGAGGGTCGAGATGAAATAAGGTTGTCCAGTTGATCGAACATGGACTTATCCCCAAAGCTGGAGCGACGCCCTGAGATCGTGTGTGAATTGAAGTTAGAGGACAAGCGGCTATTGAAGATGAGGAAGGATAAAGAATAGGGGTGAAAACAAGAGGATAAGAGTGAAGTTGGAGCGGGACGACAGGGATGAATAACTGCAAGCAGGAGAATAAAATGTTGGGATGTCGTGGGAAGTAGCACTTGCCAGGTTTGATGCAGCAGATAGAACGCCGTTGGTTATGTTTCTGCGACCACCAGAACACCAAACGGTTGTTTGAAGATAAGGTGGTTGTACTGCTTGAGCAAGAGATTGTCAAGTTGCCCTAGCTTAGACAAGTGAAAGACTAAGGTCCTCAACGAAAACCTTTGGTACGAAAACTTGATCGCAAGAAGCCAAGGCCACTCCAAACCTCAAGCTGGAGGACCAGGAGCCTGAATATGTCTAGCCTTTAAACAATGACCAATCTGGTATGAGTGACTCTGTAGGTGTCAAAAGCACAACCCGATACATACCAACGGATCGTTGAAGCACACAAACCATGGCACTCCGATAACGTCCCGTCACAACAAGACGAAAATAGATAAAAGTACAATAGCACTGGCACTTCAGGTCCTTAACTTTCCCCCTTCACTACACATTTGTCTATCCCCATCCCCCAATTAGGCTGATCTAGTATGGTAACCAGAATCTCAACAGCAATGGCACGTCCTCACAGAAATCGGATCGAAACACAAATCAACGTCCAACGCGACGTGTCGTAATAATCGGTTTCGGTGGCAGTGACATTTATAGTATAGAGTCCAGCGTGGGATGATGGCTGAACGAAGCATATTGCGCGAAAAGGATTTTATGAACACGTTTTGCGAGGTTTGGAACATCCCTGCTGCGGGAGCTGCAATGCATTAGCCTAAACCTCATGTGGAGCAAGTCTGCTCGATTTATTAGCATATACGGCCCCATAAGGTGTTATCCTAAGCACACGGAGGATCGGTTTTAATCGTAGTTACCCTGTGACACGGTCGGTTACCTGTGGTAGTTGTTTTCAACAAGTGGTTCGAGTAAGAAGCCACATCACAGGCGGATAAAATCGGCTCTCACATTATCTGGTCTGGGGACCGGCGAGATTGTTATGGTGCGCTGCGCATAGAACATCTCCTAAGTTTGTAAGTATGATATTGGGCGTGTGGTTATTAGTAGGTGATGTGTGTTTGAAACATTGCAAATTCACAACCGGGAAAGTCAATATAAGTTCGATATGCTCGAGTGGATGCATTTTCAGCATTTTGAAACAATAACTGCAGGTGGATTCAAATAGTGCTATCAAAAATGCGAAACTATATAAATTGAAACATGGTACTAGACGCGCAGTTGCCAGTCGAATAAATGCTGAAGTGAGTCATTGGTATTCGCATCCTGTTGACGGTGCGGCGTAGAAGCTCAGTTTGTCAATCGGGGACGATGATTATTCAAGTTACAAAAACGTCACTTGTAAATCTTTTTGAATGTTCATATAAGTTCATGATTGAATTGGACAAACATCATGGCACGCGCGGTAACTCAAAGTTCTGTTTAAAGAGATCAACGGAGAACAGCATTAGGGACCTAGTAAATAGTCTAACCAAATAAAATAACAAAAGTAGTTAGTGAAAACCGGTAATTCCGCAGCAGAGAGGAAAAGTCATGTTTAAGTGAAAAACGAACGGCCAATTTAAAGGCCCCTAGACAGTAGTCCTTGGCTGCATTCATCAGGTGGATGCGACCGAACCCGAGAGGCAATCTATTCATCACACAACCGGTGCACCGACATGAACTCTCCATGAGCCGCAGTCCTGCTATATATATCTAATAAGCGCAAACAAGAAAGAAACGGTAAGGTAGGAAATTTATAGATATCTGAATATCCGTTCAGAGGTTGATTGGTATGTGTCTCACGGGTTGCGTAGACAAGGTGAAAGACGGACTTGTTGACACTCTGTTGATCGACGGAATTATTACTCAGCTGCAAGGTGCCGGTGCTGATGGAATACGAAAAGAAGAGAACCATCAACGATCGCGTGTTATCATGCTGAGTCGAACCCAGTTGAATAAGGGGCCAGTAATTGCAAAATTAAAGAGGTCCTTCTGTTACGGATGTAAGAGAGTAGGGGAACAAAAGGATGTACTACTAAGTAAGGCGATACCAGTCTGTTAAGCTGCACCGGTGTGATAAACGGATCCCGCTCAATCGCCTCATCACGAATGTGCTCGATCGAAGAATCTGAAGTGACCAGGTCGCATTTGAACCACAGTACAACCAACAGGATATCCTCGAAACGCAGTTCTCTTGCACTGCGAACGAAGTTAGCCGCTGCTAGCTGACGGATTCAATGTGTTCGATGCCGTAGATTGTGTGCTGCAACTATATCCGGAACTTGATGGTTGCAAATAGGCACACGGATTAAAGTGTAGCTGGGGGAAGTGAGAATACATCTGAGTCCCCACACTTTTTAGTATGTCCGCTTCCCACACTGTGTTATGGACCCAATTTATGAGCAGACGGTATGCGCCTCGAGCGCCGCATGGGTGTTGGGTTTTCGAATTTCCATGGTTACGGGGCGACTCTAGTGCATGAAGCATCCATATAGATGCTGTCTGCAGACGAATGTACATTATTCACAATGAAGTTGAGTCACGACGCATGAAGATGACATTCGGTTCGACGACAGCCGAGTTAGGATGCAACGTCAACGCAGTTAGGGTAATGTGAGTTGTTCAATCACAGCAAGAAAAGGTGGCACAGAGCAACACAGCTGTCTCGGAAGTACACAACCAACAGCGTTACTGGTAGCCTGCGAGCTACACACTGGTGTATAGAAGACAGTGTGGTTTCCGGCGAAATAGAACATCGGGTGAGGAAGAATCGACCATTAGAACCAAGCTGATGGTGTACAAGTTGACGGTGTTGCCAGTCCTTCTTCACGCACGAGAAGTATAACTAGTAAAGGGGAAAATCTCACCAAAAATTACTCCAGTGGAGTTTGCGAATTCGTCGGTGGAAGAGCATGCTGTAAGGAAATTCACTGCATGTTCCCGCTACAACACCTTAGATCGCTTGGTCATGTCTAGCGATAGACTCTGACCAGAATACCGAAATGTCCGCTGTATAGCCAA